TGGTAGTGGTCTCACCGGACTGTGCTGGCTCTAAATTAGAGGTAGGAACGGTGGCGGCGCCGGTAGCAGTAGAAGGGCCCGCCCGAGGTGGGCTCCGTGTTGAATCGGCAGCCGGTCGAGTGCGAAGTCGAGTACTACGTCGGTTAATTAGCCGCATTTCCATGGTATCTTGGGAAGGTTTTTGGACAGCCAGGAGGCAGGTATAGGTCTCGGGATAGGATGCCAAACGCCGGTGGGATTTGTAGCTGGGTCGGGTACTGCTGTGTTGCTGTGCCGGCGTGGAGGTGTACTCGTCAGAGGAGGAGGAAGAAAAATGACCAGACTGTTCAATACCTCTTGAAACCTTTCGGCGTCTGTCTTTGCGACCGACTTCTAGTCTCTGCTTGCCTGCTGGTCTGGAAACAGAGAAGACAACTTCTGGATGCATTAAAGGAAGAAGAGACTTAGAGAAGAAGAGCAAAGAAAATTACGTGCTTATAAACCAAGTACATGAGCCCCCGCAGTTCTTGTAAGTGTTTTAGGAGATATCCAACAACCTCTTGAGGAAACCTCTAGTGTCAAAATGTATGCTAAGGGACGTCAGGAAAGCCGTTTGAGTGTCGTTCATACGGGGTTTCTGAGCGTGGTCCTTCGAAACATCCAAACGGAACACATAAGTCCTCCGGCTAAAGGCTCACGAGTCGAGACTGGTATGTGGAAACAGTGTGCACATCGACTGCCCTATAAAATGCCGCAAGCCTCAATGACGACACTGGAACATTGCCACCGCGAACCGCCATTAAATATGTTTGCCAGCCACCGCTGCCTTGTCGTTAGGTGCTTGAGTCAAAGTAGTAGAGGAGACAGCCTCGAACAAAAGCATCCGAGCGGCAGTTGGAGACCCGCCTGTATTCCCAAATCCCTAAAATTCCTCATGCACACGTCCACTTCCCTAGTAGCATGTGCATATCAAGTGAACAAAATCCGATATAAATCCGGCACATGGATCCGGCTTTTTCCAGTAGGATTACGTGATGGAATCCGCCTGGATTTGCCATGAAGGGGAAACGTGCATCAAGTAGACTCCAAACAGCTGGAATGGAGGTAACTGATATACCGATAAGAGCAGGGTGTAGTAAGCCGTGAGCGTAGACACTCGTAATGGTTGTTCAGGTTAACCTGCCGGCTGATACTGCTCGCACTGGAGTGCCAAACCTCGAAACGTCCCCACGCTGATTTTGTGTCGGCCATGAGGAGGGCCTCAATTTAATTCCACTTACCAGGCGAAGATGCGTAAGGATTACGATTAAAAAATTGTTATATGGAACACCTGCTAGAGAGGCCTAGTAGCAAATCCAAGCGGATTCCATCATGGAAT